TATGGTGTTTTATGTAATGGGTAGATTGATATATATATATCACTTGCCTATGGATGTCGAATTGATAGAATTAATTGATTTGGTGAATTGGGTATGAAAAATTAATCTAATTTCAATTAGATTCCTAGGTGGGAATTGGTATGTGGTAATTACTTGTGTAATTTCAAGAAACTTGATATTATGTGGGCATGTTATGTGCTTAAATTATGTCTTGTGGATTATTATTGGAAATTAAAAGTTGGTATATGTTTATTAATATATTGACATTGTGATGAAATTGGTGATAATATGCATGATATATGGATACATGTGGTTAAAGTTGCTCATATGGTATTCATAACATGTGGGCATGACATTTAGATAGCAATGCTGCATTACATTGCATATGCACGAAGACACCGTATTTTATGGGTGTGGGTGCATGGGTGGCATCAAACACCACGTAGATGGATGATGGGTGGGCTCAAAAAAGTTGAATTAAATATCCAGCTAAGTCGCACGATTGCATAAAAATGATTGGGTCGGGGTTAGTAAGAAGGGATAGACTATCCTTTGAGTGAGAGGCCCGGTATTTCGGATACGCACTTCCGTTGGTATAAGAGCCCATAAAGTATGTCAGTGTACGCAGAACCATTGGTGAAAGTCCATGAATTTCGTGTCAGTTGGGTGACCGTTGGTGGAAGTCCATAAATACCCACTTCAAGAAAGACCTAAAAATTTTAAATAGTCATTGGGTGTGTAACACAAATGCCGAGGACTTGGAAAGCCTGATTTTGATACTCACTACATAACATGGGATGAAGTAAATGGCCGGAGCTAGAAAAGCTCAGTTTTATACACATTGGCATTATATGTGTTGTGGAGCCGAGAAGGGCTTGGGTAAATTGTATGAATGGGTATCATTTCATTTCATGGCATGACATGTTAGATCCAAACTTATGATTTGTTTAAATTTTGGTTGGAATGATTGTTGTTGGAAAATGTTGCATGTGAACATTGCATATGCACTTAGGTTGGGGAGTAGCCTCTATAGGAAACATTCTACTGGGCATTGGCTCACCCTATACGGAAAACATTTTAAGTCCAGGGTTCATACCGGTGGAGGACTCACATTCGGGGCCTCAACGATGAAGAAAAGTCGATTTGTGGCTTTTGAAATCAAATTTTTGTAAAACTTATGTAAAATTCCATTTTGAGCATGCAATTGTGTGAATGGCCCTATAATCATATGAAATTAATGTGATAGAACTTGTATGGGTCTTGTATAGTGTAGAAAACTATATTTTACATGTTGCGAATGAGTTTGGAAGTGTTTTGGATGAATTAGAAATGAAAAATAGGTGAAACAGACAATTCTAGGCAAAACCTTCCGAGAGGTTTGGACAGATAAGGAAAATTGTCCAACAGTGGGTGAAACCTTCCGGAAGGTCAATCCTAACCTTCCGGAAAGTCTTCATACTCTTCACAGAATAAGGAATCCAGAGTGCAACTTCTTCCAGAAGGTTTGACCCACCTTCCGGAAGGTTGGCACATCTTTCTACAAGATAGGAATTCCAGTAAGCAAAATCTTCAGGAAGGTCAATAAGCAACCCCTGAGGGAACTTTTCCAGTGAGCAAAACCTTTCAGAAGGTTTTCCAAAAATTTGAAAATTTAAGAATGCATTATCATGCTTTTGGGCTATGTGTTCTTTGGTTTCAATGACACAAATGGACCTTAAATGAGATACATTGGGGTGTATTGAACCTTGATGAGATTAAATGGTTAAAGGAACACGGGTTACACGTGTGAGTTATAATCCCGAACAAATGGATGTTATTGACTTGATGCCGGAGTAGGCAACAATCACGGGTATTTCTGCGGGTTAACAGGTGGTCAACAGTTAATAAAGGACCCCCAGATTTTGCGGCATCACACCCAAAGTTATTTTGCAGAATTGACAGCACTAGACACATTGTATAATGCATTATCTAATCCGTTCAAGATATAATTTCTACATAAAAAATTTGAATGCTTCTAAACATCCACAACAATCAAATTTTCATTATCAGTTTTACTTTCACTAAGTGCAGGGACATCCTCACTTAGAAACTTTGTAAGGTTTAGTGTGGTGAGATTGAAAAGTATCTTTTATTGCCAACATTCTAAATCCGAGTCATTAAATTTCTCGAATTTATCTCTATGAGACACACTCACGATAATTGGAACAATGGCAATAGTAGAACCATTTGTAATCATTTATGTTACACAAACAGAAACAAATAACATTCTAATTTTAATAAAATATTGCAGTAATATAACAGAATACCAAATTTTGATTTAAATTATAACAGTAATTAAATTAATTATACAATAAGTACAATTGTCTTAAAATTACTATCCAGAATATGTTTTATATATATATAATCAGAATTGAATACTACTTACTGTTGCAAATCTATATCTATGTATACTGTTATATACAACCTATTAAGATAAAACATAATGTATTTTCTGAATAGAAATAATGCATTTACAGTGATGCAGAAATTATAAGATAATAAGAAATCCAGAAATAATGTATTCACAATTTTCTTAAGACAAATTTGTTCCCTCTCGATGCTTAAGGTTGATAAGAAATTGTCTCCTAAGATAGAATAAATTTCGTTCTTGAAGATGCAGTACTTCAATCTTCAAGACTCCAACAAACACAACTTTGTATTTTGTACTTGAATCGTATAAAAAAAGGTAATGTAAAAATAGAGCGAGGATGAAGCAATATGCAGAAGATTACTGTATGTTTTTCAGTTTAATGAAAACAGTTGTAAAGCAGTCTATTTATAGACTCTTCGTGGTTGTTTGGATTGCCTAAAGAGGTATGGGATGGCACTGTTCGTTGAACCTGTTCAGATTGAAGAGACACACCCTTAATTTGAACAATAACAAAGAAAAGAAAGACACATCTAGATTGAACAGACACAAATATTCAACTTCGGTGCTAATTTCAAATTTAATGGACAAAAATTTTAAAAATCCGATTGGATATTTAAATTTTGGTTAGAAGATTAATTGTGATTCACGCTTGGATCTGTTTGGTTTGACCCATAATCTACACTACACCAAATAAATTTTTTCCAAAACAGATAATATCCTTTTGACTAGAGCCCAAGTCAAGTCGTGGTCGTGGCGAGGCAGGCAAGTAAGCGGCACGCTTTGTGTGGTAACCAAGGTTGTATAAATACTCGTTCCACTCACAAAAGTGTGGTACTTCTTAGGACCCAACCCATGAAGCCAACTAGGAGTATATTAACTCGCCAAAGTTTTGATCTTCTTACAACGTAAAACAAGCTTTATACACAACATTTTTTTAAAACTTAGTTCCCTCCATCTATTCAAGGGGGTCACTTTGAGACGTAATTTCTCATTCAATACTTAATGGTTTTAAACAAATAAATGTATCACATTAATCTCCTCTCGGAGGAAAACGGGTTTAAACTTAATCCCACCAATTTTAAGTTGTGGGTCCCACTTTTTATTTAAACCTAAATTTGCTCAAAAATACTTGCTAAAAAACCATTATTTCTAACATTTTCGCCTCCAGGTGATCATATTGAACCCACACTAAAGTGGTGAGTGTTATATAACAAACATTGTGAGTTTGAAGTATATTATCGTTGACATGGACTAGTGGTACCAAAAGCACGTTCAGCTGATATATACCATCCACATAACTCAAACAACCATGACGAGATCATAGTAAAGCATGAACGTGAAAATAATCAGTATCGCTTTTATTGTTTGCATGCAATAAAATATGCAAAAAATGAGCATTTTTCGATCCTAACTATGCCATTATTGAAATTTTAGAGAGAGTTATTTATTTCCGATCTTTAACTTTTTGATTTGTTAGATTTAAGTGACGATGCGTCAAACACTTTTATTCCATCAAATTTATGTGCATGTGGTCAACATTTATGTTACTATAAACATCAATTAAATTATTGGCAGACTGCATTTTATGCAGTGTCATAAAATAAATTTAATTTTTTTAATGCATAAGTATCATTTTTCCATATATGCATGATTTTGTACAATTTTTTGGGGACAAACAGCATTGTTTGATGAACTTATGACATTATTTTGAAATATATAATTTTTTTAGTTAAAGCAAAAATTAAAGACATTATGAATTTTATCGCAAAATAAATTTATGTTGACATAATTCGTTTTTATGCAGTGCTATGCAATTAATTTATTTTTTTTATTCATAAGCTATATTTTTTGGTATGCTCATGATTTGTAAAATTTTGGAGAAAAAATGGTATTGTTAGATGAACTTATAGCATTATTTTGGATTATAATTTTTTTTTTAGTTTTAACGAAAATTGAAAGATGATGAATTTATCACCAATAAAAATTTTATTAGTATAAATCGTCAGTTGGAATGATGTCTTTAAAAAAGTTAGTTAAAGTAACATGTTTAAGTTTAACATACCACAGTTAAGAAACTGTTTAAAATAACAATTCAAAGACGTCTATAAATATATTATTTTAAATAATGTTTTATGAGTTAAAATATTCAGATTTTATTAAAGTTTCAGGAGGTTCAAAATGTCATTAAAATGACTTTTTTTTTACCAAGAAAGTGTCATTTCAAATGGCATTAAAAAAATAAGTTTAAGAAATAAATTTAAAAATGATTGATTTAAGAAAATAAATTTTTTGAGACACATGGTATTGATAAAAAGCTCTTCACCCATACATTGAACCACTAGGCTAGAGTGCCAATAGCTAATAAAGTGATTTTTGTGTTATTTTTTGTCGGCAACTATTACAGAGATGAGGAAAATAAGGTTTAAAGTGGCGATCTTAAAATCCTGTACTTGAAGTGGGTGGTTGGTCCTCAGCATAAGTTTTACCGCAATTAATCCAAGACTGAAAACCCTTTTGATACTTGACGGCCAACAATGTGAAAGTTATCAACAGACAGAACCAAACACTCTCGTACCGATCGACAATCTTCATGGAACTCTCCGACCAACAGGTGGTTCTGATAACGGGTTGTTCCACCGGCGGCATAGGCCACTCTCTGGCACGCGCGTTCGCGGACAAGAACTGCCTTGTGGTGACAACGGCTCGCTCATTGAACGCCTTGGCCGATTTGGACAATGACCCACGATTCTTTCTTCAACAACTGGACGTGTTGTCCGCTCAAAGTGTTCACAATGTTCTTGCCAACGTTCTTGAAAAATTTGGGCGCATAGATATAGTCGTCAACAATGCTGGTGTGCAATGCATTGGGCCTCTTGCTGAAATCCCTTTGTCTGCACTTGAACACACCTTCAATACAAATGTGTATGGTATGATTCTGGATCATATTCCTTATGTACAGATCTTTTGGTGATTACCATTTTGTGCTTTTGTTTATCTGTCCCTTGGTTTGGATTCAATTTAATTTGTTTCTTTGTTTCATTGTATTTCTTGCTTGTTTTAGTTGGAAATGGTGGATAATTATCAATACCCGGATCATGATTAATGGTCATTTCCTGTTCAAAAAAAGAAAATTAATGATCACTCATAAATTTACAAGTGTATTACATACTTGGAATATTTTAAAGCAAATGGATGTATCTTTGTAGAAAAATAATGGGTGAAATTCCCAATCGAATAATTAGGAGGGTTCATGCTTCTGGGGACTGCAATTGAGCTAATTCTTACGAAGTTAGTGAGTGGATTAAGAATAATATTAGTTTCATGACAGGATGTCAATGTGGTAATATTCTTTTACAGATAGTGAAGTAGGGTATTGCAAAGGAGATGGACGTCAAATTGTATATTGACAATTGAGGAAAGTTTCAATGAAGCACTAACTAGTGTATTTATAGGAGAGAAAGGTGAATTTCCTATTGCACTAGGCTTACATTTATGGTTGTCATTGAGCCCTTATCTATCTGTATTTGTTGTTAAAGAAGCTGAGGTAAGTTCTTTGCAATAATGGAATTGCTTATAAACTCTGTGGTTTTATCAAATTTAAAATGAGAGCAGTGGAGAGATGATTAAAATCTGAAGTTTCTAGGATAAAGACACAAGCTTATTATCTAAAGGTCATCTAATACCAAAACATAAGGTTGAGAAACTGGATAATGGATGTGATAATTGGCATCCATGAGTTTCAAAGGAGAAAATGTTGTAAGATATTTGTAATGGTCAACACTGTTGGGGTAGTCAGTAAATGAAAGATGTCCGAAAAATTGTAATTTGCATTGAGAAAAACAATAGGAGGGAGTTGCAATATAAGACAAAATTGAATCATTCATAATAGTTGGAAGTGAAAAGAAATGATGACTAAATGTAAAGAGTCATCTGAGGCGACTTCACCATTGCTATAGAAACCACTATTTCAAGTGTGAAAGTTGATATGATTAAAGGTTAAGGCACTTTTTATTTGTTTCCGTCTTGTTTCTAAGAGTGCAATATGGAACAACCCTGACACGCTGAAACAGATGTACTTGATCTAGAGGGGGGTGAATAAGTGTTAAGCACTCAGGCGCGGAATTGATGCCTAATTATATTAAAACATAATTCAACCAATTAATAGTCAATTCGTTAATTAGCACAAAAATCCCAAATTCACCAATATGAAGATTTATGCAAAATCCCTAAATTTCCAATCACCCTTCAATTCTATTGATTTTGTTCAATTCCATCGGCCAACATCATAAAGCGATTCACAAGATATCATTCAATTATACATTGGAAGAAGATAAAATTGCAAGTATGTAAAGAGCATGCAAGAGACAAGCACATGCACAACTTCAACGAAAGCAATTTTACGTAAAAACCTTCTTAGGAAAAAGCCACAAGACCGTAGTCCCTAACCTAATCCACTAGTCTCAAACAAAGATTACAAGTCCTAAAGTCTTATACCACAACTAATGCCATGGTTTGACTTTTTTTCCCTTGAATCTTCACTTTGGAGTCCACGGCAAGCTCTTGATGACTAGCTTCAATATGTGACGGATTGAGCTCCACAATTCGCCCTTGGAATCCTCCTTCTTCTCCTCTTGATTCTTTGAAACCTCCTTAGATCCTTGTTTTTTGGGGTTTTGGGTGTTCTGCAAGATCTCTCAAACCCTAGATTGATCGGGGAGAGATTAGGGTTTTATAATAGGAGACTATGATTCTTCACTCAAGCTGTTTCTCCTTTTTCTAGCTTATTAGAAACCCTTTAGATTCTCATAATTCATGCAAAGTCATCCCTAATTTATAGATAACGAAAATAAAGGTCAATTGTTATCAAGTAATTCAGTTCTGTGATAGACTGCTTGAGCACTCAAAGAGCGGTTAGAGAGTGTGGCTTAGTAGAAAGAAATTACTGCCCGTGTGAATCGTGGACCACTCGAGCAATCAACGAGCGCTTAGACAGTTGTAACCACTATTTTGAAATTTCAAGCCCAGTCTATTGTCCTCCACCATTACACCGCATGGAGAGTGCTTAGATAACTCTACTCACTGGTTTCTCGACCTATACCAATGCTCTAATCAACTTTCTGAGTATCAAGGAGTGATACCTAAAAAGACTTTTACATTTGTTTTAAAACCAACACTCAAAGTATCAAAAATATTTTTCTCATGCTATAGATTTTTCTACTCACATCTAAATCCATTTTAACCACCTAAGTTGAACTAATCTAAGGCAACTAGGTCTTATTACCTCACCTAAGTTTGAAGGATTTCGAGAAGTTTTCAAATGTGTTGCAATTTTGCTTGAGCTTCTTCGTCACATCTTACTTTGGTCTTTGATCTTCAAGCATGATGACCATGGATTTTAGTTGAGATACAAGTACAAGTGACCGCAAAGAATTTGTCAATTACAATGAATTTTCTAACAATTTCCAAAAGATTAATTACCCTCAAATTGGTGACAAGATTTCAAGTGTATCCAAGTCCAAAGCTAATGGTTTATCATTCTACAACACTTCACAACTTTAGGTATCTTGGGAAGGATGATGCGGGCAATGGAAACAAGGAGAAATGTAATTTGGGAATCTCGATCGAGGTTGGCTTTGGATCCGGCATAGTTATGTGTACTCGAGGCTATTTTGGTATTTTTTTTGTGAAGGTTGGGCATGGGTCGTATGTAGAATCCAAAAAGAGCAGCTTAGTGCTTGAGACACACACAATTATGGGGTCTAGGGAGGGGCATATGTTTGGCCTATGAGACATCTTTTGGGTCAAATTATGTTACTTGAGTTGTGGGTATTCTCAAGTGGGTGGGGCTATTCCCACCCCCACAAATATACATTCTCACCCCATTGAACTCCCTAATATGAAACTGCTAAGCACACCCCACTTTATTTCCCCCCATTAGTATCTTTTTACCCCAATCAATACCTGTCACATTAAATTATAAAATATGTATTACCCCTATATTATTTATATATGAAAACATAAATTATTTCTGTCCACATCTTCTCAACCCTAATCAATTCACTCTTGTGTTTTACTTGTAGCCACTGAAATCAAATTTTGCGATAGTAAAGCCAACAATTGGAATTCAGAAACTCAGATTAGTTTTCCTTAAACAAACCATCTTTTGAATGGACTGCTTAGTGAATTTTTGTGAGGAAAGGGAAAAAAAATTATTGGTTTGCTTGAATTCTTGGTCATAATTTCACAATGACCAACAAATCAAAAAAGAAATGCATGAACCCATAGCCAAAAAGGATGAGAACCACCTTTCAGTTGAATCAAGCATTCATGATTGAAAGCTTTGCTTCATTTCTGAATTGTGATGCAAGATGCAATTCTCTACACCTATTGTTTTAGGAAAGTGCGAGGAAAATTTTTGTTGATTAAATAAAAAATCTAAGGGACATTTGGGGTAGAATAGATTGAGATGAACTTAGTCTCTAATGGGGTGGGCTTACTAATTTTAAATTAAAAAATTTAATGGCATGGGAATAGTTCCACCCTTCTAGAATAGTCTTAGAGTCAAATGTTTAAGAGTTTGATAATTTTGAAGCCCGAGTCTTGTTAGAATGAGGAAAAGTTGTCAGCATATAATTATCTATGTAAACTTTTAATTCAACAGTACATTGCATTATGATGAGTTGATTCATGAGAATTTATGTTTAAGTTTGTGTCATTTGTCTTTCTGGGGTTAAAATTAATTTTTGGTTTCTGTGTTCTCCATCACTTCAATTCTTTGCAATTCTAAGCCATTATAATTCCACAATTTGACCAGCCTTTTCAGCCATAAGTCAAACTACGATCAGCCCATAGAGGCCCTTTCTTCCACTGCCAACAAAAAATTTTCTTATCATCTTTTCCAGGGATCCTGGTGGTTTCTACACTTTTCCTACATCATCAACAGTGCGGAAAGCATTAAACTATGCAAGAAGCTGAAACAAAGACAGAAGAATAGATGTTTTAAAAATGCATAGCTATTCTAACTGAAGTCAAATCTTCCCAGTTTTCAATTACTACTGTATGACATAGCATATGCTAGTGAACTACGATATACCAGAACTGCAAAACAACCAAAGGACTATTCTTGTTATCCTCAAAATTTTGAACACTTACTTGCGAGTTGTTCTTCGCATCAAGGACAGATCTCTAGCCACATTTCGGCTGCAACTGGTTCACTTAGAACTTTTGTTCTTGCTTAAAATATATTGTTCAAGAAACAGCTGACCCTTACACATTGCCTTAACTGACAGAATTTCATGGGCATCACCTAGCATTGCACACAAGTCATTATTCTTAATGTTGGAACTGTAGGCTCACTATACAAATGCAATTGAACCACATATATGTCTTTTTTTCCAGTAAATGAGCATGAAAACATCACTGAAAACAGGTTTGGCAGAAAGACCTTTCTCATTTTTGAGCCGTAACAACCCAGGAAGTTAAAAACAAATATGGGACATGGTATTATTAGGTGAGCAAGACTAATCTGTTTGCCAGCCAAAAGATTGGTAGTATGTTGATGAAATCCCTGATATTTTTAATTGTTAACATGCCCTATCTCTCACTATCAACTTGTATTTATAGTTACTAAACAAATGTACTAAAGACAAGTATTACAATAAATGTAAACTCTAATATAATAATAATACTCTCAACACTCCTCCTCAAGCTGGACTATATAAATCATATAATTCAAGTTTGGAACAAATAGTTGTAAGACGAGGACGATTCAATGTTTTGGCGAACATGTCTGCAAGTTGAGCCTCATATCTCACAAAGGGAGTTTCAATATCTCCATTTAGGATCTTGTCTCGAATAAAATAATAGTCAACTTTAATATGTTTGGTCCTCTCATAAAACACTTGATTGACAGCAATATGAAGAGCTGTTTGATTATCACATAACAATTATAAAAGAAGTTAAACTAAAAAA